CGAACTGGCTTCCCAACCCAGGCCACCAGACTTCTCCGGCGACGACTCAAGCTCCGCCTCCACTGCAGACGCTGTTTTGCCGAAATTGAATGGCTGCATGTCAAACCCATGGGCAGTGTCCTTTGCCCTGCGGATCATAGCTGCGCATCCCTCGAGCATTTGCTCTGCCTCCCTGCCCTTCTTGACTTTGCTGCCATGGCTGATTTCCTGCGATGTTTCCGGCACCATACACTAAACCCAACGGTCAATGGTACTTATCTGACCCTAGTCTTCTTTCGGACTCGTGCATCGGTTCAATTCCTTTAGCACTTTCTGCGCATCGGACAGGAAGCATGACAATTTCCGAGTGATCCCAAATGCATTGAGCAATGAGGACAGCCCAACCTTGACCGCGAACAGAAAACAACACTCCCAGTGACATGTGTCTAGCTGCAACCAACCCGTCAAGAGTTTGTCCTCCTTCTCGCCGGTAACCGTCTCGCGACGGATGTAGTCCTGGATCGGGACAGCGAAGCGTTTCTCGTAGTCCTTTCGGCCTCTGAAGTCGTGGTCGTGGTTGGAGGTTTCCCAAGCTTGCCACTGCTCGAATGCCTCCTTCGAAGTGTTGCCCTTCGAGAGGGCATGCTTCTCGTACTCGATCCAGTCCATGTACGCCTCAAGAGTGCCGGTGATGTTCTGCTTCGTCGTGAAGATTTTCTTGGTGTAGCTGGCCCAGTCGAAGCTGTCACGCCGAATTCCTTGCCCACGCGATGGACACGTCTTTTGGTAGTGGAGGATCAAGTGCCGCAGTCCTTCCTCTGTCTTGGTCAGACGAGTCCAGTCGGCCAGTCGGCCGTCCTTTTCCGCATCAGCTCTGCAAGCTTGCACATCTCGCTTGCACGGTTTGCAGAAAAGGAATTTGTTGATCGCAGGAACAGTCATGCAGATTGAGCACATGCGCTCAAACTTCCGCTTGTTATTCTGAGCTGCGGCTTCCTGCTCCGGCACCATGGGAAGGTCCGCATCCTTCTGCTTCGACTTGAGCTGCTTGCCCTTCTTTGCTGATGCAGAGGATGCTCCCTCCGGCCCATCCAGGGAGTCGTCAACTCCAAAATCGAACTCTTTGTCCGGCCCGTCCATCTTCAATTCCATGTCCTGCATCTCCGCTCCCGCCTCTCCGTCATGAAAAAGCTTCGGCAGGGGCCGGTGGAGCTCTGACTCCGCAGCCTTCTCTTCATGATGTGGGGCAGTCGCAGCGGAATGCTCAGGAGCGACGTCGGACATGATCGATGAAGTTGGAACACACGACACTATCACACGCCTTGAAGCCACAAGCCTTCCTGCCACGCTGACATCAATGTACTGCAGCCACAAACAGTGCAAAGCTGAAATAGGCTGAAGTTGCGGTCACAATACGTGCAAAGCTCAAGTTTGGGTCAAATGACCAAATGTACTGAGTCAACCTTCACCCGAATCACACGAATCTACGATCTCACTCGCTGCACTTGCAAACCCTCCACTCGGTAATAGTAGCAGCAGTGCTTACCGTAGTTCAAAAGCTCCTATGCCCCTAGCCATCTCCAAGATGGGTTCTAAATGCTCCTTCAGAAAAACCTGAAACAATGTGCTACCTCTCCAAGATTAAGATGGGTTCTAAATGCTCCTTCAGAAAAACCTGAACAAATGTGCTACCTCTCCAAGATGGGTTCTAAATGCTCCTTCCGAAAAACTTGAACAAATGTGCTACCTCTCCAAGATGGGTTCTTAATGCTCCTTCAGAAAAGCTTGAACAAATGTGCTACCGGCTAGCTCCCTATCGATCACATTTGTTGCTAAGGCTAAGGGGTCCCTTTACTTCAGCCGGACAGAAGGCGCACCTCCCTTCCAGAGTCAAAGAATGAGGAAGGTGATGAAGCCACAGTCCACGCCTCAAGCTAGACTTCGATGTCTTCAAATGCCACTGCAAACACTGAAGTGATGTGATCCAAGGATTCGTGGAATCGTGGAATCTCATGCTTCCCTGTTCACTGCCGCTGCATACTGACTGCACTGTCTCCTGCGACATTTAAAAGAATCTACTCAGCTGCTATATCCATCTCGGCTATGATGCTCCAGACCTCGAACCTACCGACGACATAAAATCAAGCTCATGCCTGCATGTCCTTTGCTAAGGAGTCCGAGCTGGCGGCTAAAGACGATGAAGCTCACGTCCAAGCTTACTCGAGCTTCACACCAACGATGATGATGGCCTGCAGAATTTGCCAAGACTGACAGCACGAGTGCTCTGGGGATCAAAACGACTGATTATGATTGCTTCGTCACACTCCTGCTGCCCGCATGCTCGAAACAGACACAAGATACTTCAATATGCAACGACATTGTAACGACATCATCAATCCAAAGACTCCTTGTCTGCCTGCAGAACGAGGAAGCAGCCGCGAGATTGCCTGTGCCAAAGAGTATCCACTACCGCAAAGCAAAATCAACGACTGCTACTCAGACGTCCTTGTCCTAACATGTCCGAACGAACTCACAACTGCCTCATCACTCCCACTGTGCTGCCTATTGATGTACTTCGCACAGGAACAAGAAGCCTAACTACACAGCACGTGCACTTCCGAGCGCATGGCCGGAGGATCTGCATTTGTTGTTTTTTTATGCATCTGTGCTGCCTTTGCAGTTTGAAGCTTCGATGCTCCGTTGTTGGAGCTGCCCCACTGCCAGCAATGGCAATGAGACCATGATACGGCCCATGGGCCAGCAAGCCCCAGCTCTCCGGCTGTTCGAATTTCGAAAGTCATGAGACTAACTCACACTCAAGATTGCATCAACCTCATCAGTCTTCTGAGCAGGCTCCCGGAGACTGGGCAGTTGCAGTGGCAGAGCATTTACAAGTTTCACTATGTCTTACTTATAATCTGACAATTGCAGACACTTTATACAGCCTTCTGAAGCACAAAAATTCTCCCCTAGTTTTTATTGCGCACTGCTGGACTGCCGAATCAGTCCTGCCTGCCTCAGTCTCCTAATCCAGCATCAGCTTCCATCTCTTCTGTCAGATCGTCTTGAGGCTGGCTGTCTTCAAAACTGAATGTCAAGCTTGACCTCATCTTCAGCAAAGTAGCCGGTTGCCACTCAATGCTGCTCAGTGCATACAAGATCATGGAGCCAAGTGTGGGCACGAACATGGCATTACCGATCATCTTGTGCCAAGCTGATCTAGACCATCTCGGGTCAGGCTGAGCAACGGATGCCTTCACCTTGTCCAAAAATGCAGGACTGTAACATGCTTCCAAGTGGGGCTCTGTTGGAAATCCTTGCGCGGCAAACAGCTCGGACAAGCAGGCATGCCTGCCCTTCTGCAGACTATGGATCGTTCCATGCCGAATGATGCAAGGCCACCATGGCCCCGCCTGTGCAAAGCCAACGTTCTGATCCAGGTCCACTATGTAAGCTCGGCTGGCATCACCATCGCTGTGTTTCTTCTCCATGGCAGCTCGATGTTGTCGCAAGACGTTCTGCTGATTTGCGGTGTAGACCTCCTGCCAGCCCTCCTGTTTCATCTCATCGGTCATCTGGAAGCCTCGCTTTCTGCAGAGCAGCTGAAGCTCCTGAACAACCTGAGCATGGTCCTGTGGAAGGCAAAACAAAGCATCCCCGTCCATCTCCACGGTCCTCTTGAACAAAGCTGTATACTCAGCTGCACTCCCCACGAAGGTCACCTGCGAACGTAGGAAAGCCAAACAATACATTCTGGGCCTTCGGATGGGCCACCCGTGTAAACACGGGCCAGGATGATCCACGAACTCCAAGTGATACTTGTCTTCCAGAAACATCCGCACTTTATCCTTCGGAAACGCAGAAGCGGACTCCATGATCAAAAGCGACGGCTCGCGACTTCTCATGAGGATGCACCATGTGTAGAAAGGTCGCATGGACTCATGGCCAAGCCCCTCGTGCTTCCCGTAGGAGGAAAAAGCAACGCATGTCAGTCCTGCCACTTCCAGGGAGTGGCGCCTGCCGGGGGTGGATGCTGCATCTGCTCCTGTGGATGTCTGAGCAGCCTCAGCTTCAGCACGGGCTGTACTCAACTTGCAGTTCTGCAAGTGTTTCACGCAAAAGCACTCCGTCCTGATGATGCTTCCAGGCTCTGCACACTTCTGCAGCAGATACTGTCCCATGTTGTCATAGATCTCAATACGCTGTTGAAGCCTCGTTGCTCGAACTTGCTTCGCCTGGCCCAGATTTTTGAGCGATGGCAAAGATGTCTCCATTTCATTCAAACGTTGCTGCACCTCATCTACCAGACAGTCATCTAGCTGGTGGAAGAAATGCTGGGGCTGTCGTGCAGCAGGAACCGCCAAAGCCAAGGCTTGGCAGAAGCCATCTGCATCACAAGCACTCTCGAATTCCATGGCCAGCACCTCCGCCTTGTCATTGTCATCATTTTCACGCAGCCCCAGCTGCTCTGCATGCGCTCGAAGTCCTGCCTGGATCGCTCGGAACGCGCATTCCTCTGTGCAAAGGCCAGAGTAGCTGGAGGTCATTGTCCATTTGCAGTGCAATATGGAATCCGTCAAGCGTTTTCTCCTATCATCATTCTCAACGATGCTGGAAACCATGTCCACGGGCCACTTGAATGCTTCACGCAGACAGGATGGACCAAGGATCGTTTTCTCATCGGAGTCCTCGACGATGCTATGCTGCTTCACAGCTTTAGGTACACGGGCAGCAGTGGCACTGTTGTCACCATCATCGGCATCAGCCTCGCCTCCTGTAAAGATGGCTGATGTTCCACGCTTCATCTCCGGTTTTAAGAGAGCAGAAAACCAAAACCCAGGCCCAGCATCCAATGACCGGACGGGACACCAAAGCTCGACCAAAGCACAAAGGCAAAATTCTATCAAGATCAGAAAGGGTTAAAGGGCGACTCAACGGCAACAGATTTGTGCTACGTTCCTCGCTTACTATACCTGTACTCCGACCTCAGTACTTCCGACTTCCTAGCTGCCTAGCTTCGGCTGAGGCTGAGGTTGCATATTCATCGAAAGGCATGTTGGCTGCGCACTGCATCCACTGCATGAAAGGGTCGAGTCGAAATGGCTGTCAGGTCTACCCAAGCTGCTCAAGTATCGTGAACGGAGAATGCACAAGAAGCTTTCCGACTTCTTAAATCCCCTGCCCGGGGGGCCTGCAAGGCCTGCAACACTGCTCGACTCTGCGCCCAGCACCTGACGCACACCTGACGCATTTGCAACGATCATGCTGAGTCCCACCACTCACGCAGCACGCCGCCGAACAGTTTGAAGTTTGTAGGTTGAAGCAGTGAAGCAGTGCTGGATCAAACTGCTCTCTCCGTACACTAATGCTTCTCGATGCAGATCAACAGGCCCGCCTCCAGAAAGATATCTGTCTGTCGCCAACCAAGTGGGCAACTCCTGCAAATGGCCACTTGGAAACCGGGACAGAGCTCGCAAGTCTGAATGTAGCATTTACACATTTCTACTAGACACTGTCTTACCGGATAAGATAGCTGTAGCTACGCAAACGCAACTTTCAGATCGTAGCATCAATCCTGGCACATGGTCCATGGCTCTCGAAGACACACTAGCAGAAGCTGGCAGAAACTGTCCCAACTCAGCAACACCCGAGGCCCGAGGACACATCAAGCCATCAAGCCGGGCTGCCGAGGCTCTTTAGTTTTGAATGGACAATTGAATGATTCTGCTGATCTGCTCATGACAGTCAGAACTTTCAACCGCCGACAAGTATAGGACCGATTGCGGGTCACCCAAGCGCCATATTGCGGTCATCATTGCCAAGTGTCATGTAGTGTGAACTTTGACCAAACATGTTAAGCCTTGGGCCAATTTGAGCAAATCATAGCACTGCTGCAAGTACACTGCTGCCTTGAAGCTGTCGCACATGCAGCAATACAGACTCATGGCATAGATGTTATGCACAGGCAGAATCCTCGACTCGTGGAATCAATGTCGTAGCTTGCTCGCTTGTTTCCTGATGTGGTTTCCACCCCTACCCAAGGAGAGGATTCATTGATTCCAGTTATAAGGTTCGCTGACCCCGGATTCCAGCATCCCGCAACCGTGATAACAAATCACACGCATCACATCTTTCTGCTCTGACCTAAGAAACCTTTATTATGAATCTCTAGATAGTCTGAAAGCCTCACACTATTAACTATTTTAACCTCTTTCTGTTTTTCAGTGTACGATTCGACTATCTATCTCTCTGTGCACTTAAAGGAAAAGTGCCACAGGACATATTGGATCATAGCAACCGCAATTCTTGCTGGGATTGCTTTTCCTTTGGTTTTCCTCATTCCTGCTGGAATGTTTGGTTTTCTCTTACTTTTCGCTCTTTTGGGCCTCCTGGGAATCTTTTGGAGAGGCTTTCACGGGTGGGCCCGCCCAGGGCCCCAGGAGCACCGGCACTTCCGTGAGCTTCCGTGAGCTTCCGTGAGGGGGTAGCGTACAGCCTCCGTGCGGGTGGTCCAGACTTCCGTGAGCTTCCGTGCCGCCACCGGCACTTCCGTGACCTTCCGTGAGCTTCCGTGAGCCTCCGTGAGCTTCCGTGAACCCCCCAACCCCACATGCGGGGCCGGCCCAGGCCCCGTGCCGACGCCAGATGGCTCTCTCTGAATCACATGACCCAAAATTCGTAGAAAAGCTGATTTTTTTTGGATTTCCCGAAATTCTTGGCGCCAAAACCCAAAACTTCAAACGATTTCAGCAAAAATCGATCCCAAGCGATTTTTGGGTCTGCACGCGGAATGTGCCAAATGCCCTAAGTAGAATGATATATGTTAACATCTTCAGAACTTACTACCATCTCATGAACACAAAGAAGACACTGCATGGCAGAATCCGACAAGAACATAACTGAACATGGTGGCTGCGACAGGACAAGTGCATCTTTCATCAGGACACGCCAAGATCTCTGCTCACTCGGGCTCAGTCAGCATCTGAGTCTGACGGCTCAAATGAGCCATCGCTGGCACCGGCAATGTCGCTCATCGGCTCACTGCTGCTGCTGCTGCTACTGCTGCTGCTGCTACTTTGAACAGCAGGCAGCTCTTCAGCTGCGTCCACATCAAGACTTGAGTCAAGACCTTCAAGACTTTGCTCATCCTCATCACGGATGTTGCGCTTGGCTTTCACCCTGGCCTTTGCCTTTGCTCTGGAACTGCTTTTCGCCTTGGCCTTTGCAAGAACCATGCCATCAATTCTTGGCGGGGCATCCGGCCGACGACTTTCAAGTTCTTCATCTGTCAGGAGCAGAGCAGCATCACGAATTGCAAGATCAGACCCGCTGCTTCTGTGCTCTGCACGAGAACTCAAAGTCAACCCTTCTACGACCCAAGTCTTCAAGCGCCGCAGCACATCCTGCTTAGAAGCTTCATCGCTTGGATCGAAGGCCATGGTCTTGCTGCAGCTGGTCCTGGCTCCCCATTCATGATAAACGTAATGATCATACCGCACGCAGTCTGCCTGGAAGGCAGGGAGTGTTGTCTCATTGCCTTTCTTGTATTTGAAAGACACACAGCCCCACCTGAAGGATTCATGCAGCCGGAAAGTTGCAAAGCGATGCCCACTCTGACCAAAGCCAGGACCCGGGCCTGTTTGGCCGGTCTTGCTGCGCACACGCCGGGCTGGAGCCGAAAATTCTGGAATTGGTGGGATCAGGTTTTCTGCAGGCGGCCTAGGGGGCGGGACTAAACCACTTAAACCAGGGGCAGGGTCTCTGGAGCTTGACGCAGCACCGCTGCCGCTGCCTGCAAGCTGAGTCGGTTGAGTCGCAGTCAGCACATCTTGCCTATCCAGGAGCAAGACTGGACGCTTCTTCGCTGGGCTACCGACAGCATCAGGGTCCAACAACTCAGGGGCGGTGGGTGCCGAAGGGTTCTTCTCGCGGGAACCTGTGGCTGTGGCAGGCTTGCCTGCACGCTTCCTGGATGGTTTAGGTTCTGGCTCCATATCCCCAGCATCACCTTGGAAATCGAGCACCTCAGTCTGTGCTTTCAGTCTGCCCTCAAGCAATTTCTGGTAGTACTTGTCGCCTTGCAAGTGAGGAATGGATGCCAAGCCTTGCTGCTTGCATAACTCAAGGAACTCGGGTTGCTCCGAATCTGAGCTGGCAAGTGCAGCAAGATAAGCTTGTCCGACTGTGACACGACTCGCATTGACATACATCCGTTTCGGTGAAGGGGGCAGCGTGGCATGAATGGGATAAGGCTTTGGGCCTGCATGTCCCTTCCTGCTGACCCAAGAATACAATTGCCACCCTCGTTGCTTGAGGAACAAAAGCAAGGCTGATTCACTACGATCCGACATCGGAAGACTTTCCTCCAAGTTAACCAAGTCCTCTGCCTTCGACAAGCAAAAAGCCATACGCAAGGACGACACGCCGTGCTGCGTGATCTGCCAAAGCCCCGACCCAGAAACTGCAGCCAGGTTCAATCCTTTGAAATAGTCGAGACTGGCACGAACTTCAGCCCCGACCGCTGAAGCATCAAGGCCTTTCACACCTCCTGGAAATGCACCTGCCTGAACAAGTGCTTCAGCTGCAGAATTCAAGTCTTGTTCACTCAAGGGCTCCGGCAAGGCATGCTGCTCACAGATTCCACCCCAGAAACAGCGAAGCTTCGGGTCAAGCTTCCAAACCTTTACACTGCTGAAACCACCTTTGGACAGAATCTGCATTGAAGATGTTGTGGGCAAATCTGGTGTTGCGGAAACCCACATTCGATCCTGACTTTCTATCTCTTGAATGGGCAGAAGGGACACTGCCATGTCCGACCACACGAGGTCAGGACGCTTGTCTGTCTTAGGCAGCTTCATGCGAACAGGCCGAAGAGACACTACGCGAAATATAATCATATCTGAGGCTTTCTCAGAAGCAGAAGACCCCGTGATGTCCAGGCACGATGGCATGCCTTCAGAAGCACGGGAGCCAGTTGCTCCGAAACCTGCATCTGCTTCCATGTCAAAGAAGAAATCGGAGTTCTCTCCAGCATCCTCAATTTTGTTCGGGCCGAAGTCTTTCACCGAACTAATCAGTGATCTGAACCTTCCAGCTTCCTGGCCAGAAATGGAATACACACGGCTTTCATCATGATTATCCACAAGCTTCTGGAAGGCAGCTTGCTCTTCATATGAATGTGCTTCCCTGGACTCAGCCTTTTTCTTGGAGGAGGGAGGGGTGGGGCCATCTCCGTCATCATAATCTGCAATCTCGGTCATGTCCATGAACTGTGAAGTCTCATCTAAGTGATACACCACTCGTTTTGTTTGCTTGGAATACTTGTGCGTTGTTCCCCAAACACTACAAAGCCCATTTAACCTTGGGACCGTCACATTTGCAATGATGGGTGCCAAATCCGGATGCCCTGAAAGACCCAATGTCACAGAAGCTTTCAAAGGGTGGTAAAGTTGCTCCGCAGATTGAGCCAAGACACTGATTAAAGAAGCATCTGATTTGCTCCACTCAATCAGCAACGGCATTCTCTCGGACATGGAAAGGAATGCTGGACCGGCGTGCGATGCTTTCTTTAACACCTTGTGCACGAAGGCGTGTCGTCCCTCAATGCGCTTTTCCGAAAGCGGAATGAATCGAAGCCGTGCAGCCATTCGCGCAAGGTGCGGCAAAGCAGTCAACGACGTGCCTTGCACAAAATCTCTCAGCTGCTGCTCGAGCCTACTGCCTTGGCAAAGCAACAACTGAGTGAGTTTGTGACTGCTGGCCTGTTGCTCTTGCGACATGTTCGCCCACATGCGAAGGCAGGTCG